CCCCTCACATTAGCTGGTTTGTTGAAAATAGCGGAACCGGAAATGCCCCTACGGTCATTTAATATGCAAAACGATGTCATGTGACGAAAATTCATTCGAGCATGACAAGGAAACAAGCAGTTCTGAAGTCACAACGAAAACAGTCTACTTCATGCATAAAAGTTCCATTCTCGTCGCCTGAATCAATTCAAAGTTACCCGCAAAAAGAAAATAACAACAACCTCAATAACCCATCGGAGATGGGGGCGGCTCAGTGTTTTAGGGGTCAAAAACCAGTTTTGTTACAACTTAGGGTCCACAGGGAGGTCTTTTGCAGTACCTTTTAGGGTGTTGAGCCGAAAAAATATGACAGGACCTTAAGTGTTGTTTTAGAATCGGTACCTCTTAGGGATAGAAAAAAATTCAAGCCATGCCCATGAAACAGGATTTTGGTCCCAAGAGGGGAGGGGGGAGGGTAATATAGGTATGTGTGGTCTATCTTTTTCAGGTGGCTCGAATATGCTGATCATCATTCAGAAACTGTAATTAGTAGTTTTTCGGCATTAATATTAAATAATAAATGATTGAAATAGGGATCAGGTTTACTAAAGGCATCTTCAGTCAATCAATACCAGTTGGTTGACCCTCGATCAACCCCCAGTCAATACTTGATTGACGCTGGAGCAATACCTCAGTTGACACTCAATCGACACTCGATCAAGTGTTGATTGAGATGTGGATTGAGTGTTGATCGATGGTCAATCGCGGGTATCAGCTGACACTCAACCACAGATACCTATAGTGCACATGATCCAGAAATAGCATCGACTGAAAACTTGGAACCCATGACCCTCCATGATCTTGCCAGAAACTCTAACCACTGAGCTACTGGAGATTCTATGGTGAGCAAGGGTGAAATGTGGTTCCAAAAATTTTGCTCTGAGTAAAATACAGAAATAAATAAATAAATAACACAGAGACAAGGGGTACTTACCATTTACATGGGAAAACTGGAAATTCCAGTTGGAAAATCAAATGGTTTGCACCCTTCTGTTTGGGAAGCTTTGGAAAGTATGGGCTGTGATTTGAGGTGATGCTATTTTCCTGCTCTTTTAAGTCTCTCTAGCTGATGTGGATATACTTTATAGTGATTCCCTCTCCCACAACGTCGCATTTAACTGTTTAATGTTTATACCTGAAATTTCCAGCTGGATGGTTTTTGTAAATGGTAAGCACCCCTACAGTAGTGAAAAGTTTGTCCAGTATCATTTATCCTTATTTACATAATTAATAATTAATTATTATACCTTTCTTAAAAACAATAATAATATTAGTGTCTGTCACTTGCTTCAAATAATCCTTGTTTAGGTTGCTCCACATTTTTACACCACAATAATGTAAGGAAGCTGGCAACTGGCAGCAATTCTACAAGATGGAATATTAAGGCTGCCCCAACACAAACTTTAGTGCTTGCAATGCTTAAAGTGCTTCTAAAACATTTCCTATTTCTTACCAGGTAGAAAATAGAATTGACAATTTAGTCTATGTGTTGAGTCTTGTATCATGGAAAAAAAAATTCACTTTGAGACATGAGATCTCATATAAGGTGAGATCTCTTTGTTTGGTTAGATTGGTTATCAATTAGTTCTTATTAACCAAGCAGGAGGTCTGTATGGGAGAATCTTGACCGAGGTTGTGAGTACAGACCGAGGTCAAGATTCTCCCATACAGACCGACTTAGCTTGTTTAATAAGATGTTTATTGTATGGCAAAGAAGAAAACTTTAATTCGTTCAATAGAACTGGTTTGCTTGCAAACGGAGATGGGCTTAACTTAAACCTGCCGAAATTTGCTCGTCCTCTTTACCTTTTTTTTTGTCGTCAGGCTTTTTGGCACTTCCATAAATGATTGAGAAAAAAACAAAAGAAAACAG